AAGGTTCCTAGAGGGAGGGTGGTCTCTGTGCTCTGCGGGGCGCTGGGCTGGGCTCCGGAAGTTGCAAGGGAAGGGACCCGGCAGCGTCTCCAGGCACCCGGCGTCGGAGTGGACTCGGGAAGATGGCTCTGGGACTTCTCTCTCGCGCTCTTGTAGTGGCCCTTGCCAACGGGGGCTTTCCCCCCGTGGTAACACTGCTCCGGCCAGCCTGCTGCTCTTGCTCACCTGCTGAGAAGAAAGGAATGCTTTCTTTCCCCGGGTTTCCACAAGGAACTGGGGACGCCACTCTGGAGTGTTACTGCTGTGCCTGTAGGTCACAGTGGTTAAGATCCAGACCCGTGAAATGACACAGTCCCTGGTCTAAACACAACAGCCAGCTGTGTGGACTTCCTAAACCTCACTTTACTCATCTATAAAATGGGGTAATAGGAGTATTCTCCTCAGTGAGTTATGAGGACTCGATGAGGAAGTGCATGGAGAAAATGCACCAGTACATGGTCTTCCACGGATATCTGTCAGACACTAACCTCTGTGAGGGCAGAGAGGGGATCTGCTGCATCCCTGGTCATTGACACAGGGTGGAATACCGCCTGTTGAATCAGTGGCTGTGGTGCAAGACACATGATAGGTGCTGTCTTGGATAATAGGGAAGACCTCTGAGACACAGGAGCCTGTGATCTATATATACATATATATAATGAAAAAATCAAAGCGTTGTCAACAAAGTGATGAAAACAGTAAGTGCTTCAAATGCAGAGTGATCAAGGAAGATCTGCCTGGGGAGAAATAAAGCATTTGATGAGGATTTTAAAAGATGAGTAACCTTTTAAGAGAGGGAGCATTGTTTCTTGTTTCTGTAAATGACTGCATTTCCCCATACTGGAGAAAGACATTCTGTAACTGTTCATAACCATAAAAACAGTTCGTGCCACAATAAAAAGATCAGAAGAGTACTGAGTGCATTTAAATAGATGTGTGGCTTTAAAAAAAAAAAAAAAAAAAAAAAAAAAATTGGAAAGTAGAATGGATCTGTCTTAGGGTCAGGTTTTTCAGTGATGCAAAGTAGATATATTAAACCTTTACTTTAGACGCTGTTCACTTTTAACATGTGGGTGCATCTTGGAAATTGCAGGGGAATTAGAGGAAATAGTATTAGAACCATTGTTCATTGCTACAGGGACAGTTTCTTTTTCTGCTTTTGAAATTCCTAGCATTGAGAGTCCTGGAATAACTTTATGCTTACAAAAATGTATTTGGGATGCTGATTTACTGATGCTCGTGCCTTTACTTGTTTCAGGTCTACAGGTGCGCCTGCAGGTCCAAGCACTGCCTCTGGCAGTAATCGGAGGCTTCAGCAGACACAGAATCAAGTGGATGAGGTATTGCTCTGAAATGTTGAGAAGATGAACATAGGAACACTCTGGAAATAATTGTTTAGAAAGAGTATCATAAAAGTGTGAATGTAAAGTAAATTTTGACTATCATAAAAGTAACAAATGTTGTCCCCTACTATTCTGGAAGCCCTGACTTTAGCAGAAGGCAAACTCTCCTGGTTTCATGCTTGTTTTTCTGTGACCAAATCACATCCCTAAAACACAAATACCCCTCCCTGAGGACATTCCTCCAAGAACTACTTTATAACATATATTTTGCCAAAATAAAAAAGTATTGGAAAAAAGAGAACCACTTTATAAGACAGGGTAATAGGATGTTTGAAATTAGGTCTATAGATTGTTTAAGCCAAGACCAATCCTTCTGACCAGATTTTTCATCAAAATACTGTTCCAGTAGCCTGACTTTCTAGTTTCCCAGCCTGAGCAGACCTCTGTAGAATTCAACTCTGATTGTTGCCCATTGACATACAGAAGGCAGATGCTGGCAAATTGCTCTAGCCCAATAAATCTGTATTTATGGAATTCTTGAGATAGAGGATGCTCACAGCATCTTTGTCTTGCCCTACACATGCAGACCCACAACGGAAGATTGAGAAATTCAAACTAGTATTTCCATGTTCCTAAAAGCCATCACTGTCCAACAAGGATACCTTGGTCTTTCTGCATTTAGCTGCCTTAAAAAGCAGCATTAAACTTACGTTAAACTATCACATATATGGTGATAGAAGATGATTTGACTTTGAGTCCTGGGCACACAATGCAATATACAGATCATGTATCATAGAAATGTATACTTGAAACCTATACGATCTTATTAACCAATGTCACCCCAATAAATTTAATTTAAAAAATAAAAATTCTATTAAACTATGTTTAACAGTGGATTTTTAAATATGGTAATATTTTGATGTAATGGCTTTGTTTATGAACTTCTGAAATTTTTATATTTCCATGCTAAGAAACCCATCCTGATTCCATCCTGCATGAAACTTTTGTTTACTTGCAAAATCAAATTGGGTTCTTTTTTTCTTTTTTTTTTTTAAATATATCTTTATTGATTTCAGAGAGAGGAAAGGAGAAGGGGAGAGAGAGATAGAAACATCAGTGATGAAAGAGTCATTGATCGGCTGCTTCCTGCACATCCCCCACCAGGGACTGAGCTGGCAGCCCGGGCCTGTGCCCTGACTGGGAACTGAACCATGATCTCCTGGATCAATGCTCAACCTCTGAGCCATGCCAGCCGGGCTGGGTCCTTTTTCTTAACCAAATGAATTTTAAGAAAAGTTGTGGGGTTTTTTTTTAATTCAGGTGAAATTCACATAATTAGCCATTTTAAAGTGTACAGTAGTATTTGGTGTAGTCACAGTGTTGTGCAACCATTTCTTCTGTCTAATTTCACAGATTTTTCATCACCACAGACTATACACATTTAGTAATTACTCCTGTTCCCTCTTCCTCCCAGTCCCTGGTTTTCTCCCATTCTCATTGGTTTTCTGTTTCTAAGGGTTTTCTTATTCTAGATAAATCATATAAAAGGAATCATACACTGTGTGGCCTTTTGTGTCTGGCTTCTTTCACTTAGTATAATATTTGCAGTGTTCATCCAAATGGTAACAAATATCAGTGCCTCGTTCCTTTTTATGGCTGAGTAATATTCCATTGTGTGTGTATACCGTGTTTATCCATTTATCAGTCGATGGATTTTCAGTTGTTTTCACCTTATGGCTTTACCAGTAATGCCGCTATAAACATTTGCATATAAGTTTCTTTGTGTACATATGTTTTCATTTGTCTTAGGTAAGTATCAGGAAGTAGAATTGCTAGATCATGTGGTAATTTTATGTTTAACTTTTTGAGAAACCACCAAACTTTTCCACAGTGGCTGCAGCATTTTACATTCACACTAGCAGTGCCTAATGATTCCTCTTTCTCCACACCTTTATCAACACTTGTCATTCCCCCCCCCTTTTTTTTTTGTTACAGCCATCCTAATGAGTATAAAATAGTATCTCATTGTGGCTTTAATTTGCAGTTCCCTAATGACCAGTGATGTTGACCATCTTTTCATGTGTTTGTAGGCTATTTGTTTGTATTTTTAGTAGGAATGTCTATTCTAGTCCATTGCCATTTTTAAAAATGTATTGAGAGAAAGAGAAACATCGATTTGTCATTCCATTTACCCATGCATTCATTGGTAGTTTCCTGAATGTGCCTCGATCTGGGATCAAACCGGCAACGTTGGCATATTGGGACGATGCTCTAACCACTTGTGCTACCTGGCCAGGGCCAAGACCATTGGAATTTTGATAGAGATTGTATTGAATTGTACATATGTACATCATTTTGGGGAATACTGCCACCTTAACAATAGTAAGTCTTGCAGTCTATGAACATGGGTCTTCCCATTAGGTCTTTATTTTTTTCAGCAGTGTTTTATAGTTTTCAGTGTCCAAGTTTTTGCCTTCTTGGTGCAGTTTATCCCTAGGTATTTTATTATTTTGAATGCTATTGCATACAGAATCATTTTACTAATTTCCTTTTGATGGTTACTATATGAAAACACTGATTTATGAATGCTGATATTGTACCCTGAAACTTTACTAAATTTATTAACCCTATCGTGGATTCTTTGGCATTTTCTATATATAGAATCATCTGCAAATATGGATTTTCTTCTTCCTTTCTAATTTGGATGCCTTTTGTTTCTTTTTCTTGCCCAATTGCTCTGGCCAGAACTTCCAGTACAATGTTGAATAGCAGTTGTGAAAGTGGGCATCCTTGTCTTGTTCCCTGATCTTAGGAGGAATGCTTTCTGGTGCTTATTTGTTGTAGCCTCACCCGAGGATATGTTTATTGATTTTAGAGAGGAAGGGGGAGAGAGAGAAACATCAATATTAGAGGGAAATGTCGATCAATTGCCCTGACCAGGGATTGAGCCCATAGCCTTTTGGTGTACAGGATGACGCTCCAACCATACCACCAGGCCAGGGCAGCTTTCTGTTTTTGACCATTGAGCATGGATGTTAGTTGTGGATGTTTTTCATAAATACCCTTTCTCATGTTAAGGAAGTTCCTTTTTAGTCCTAGTTTACTAAGTATTTCATGAAATGGTGAGGCCACGCCCCCTTTTTAATGAAAGTTTGGATCAAAATAATAGTGCTGACCTTTTGTCCTTCCATTTCTTTTTTAAAAATATATTTTTATTGATTTCAGAGAGAGAAGAAGGGAGAGGGAGAGATAGAAACATCAATGATGAGTTATTGATTGGCTGCCTCCTGCACACCCCCACCTGGGATGGAGCCCGCAACCTGAGCATGTGCCCTGATCGGAAACCGAACCGCAGTCGCCTGGATCATAGCTCAATGCTCAGCCGCTGAGCCCCGCTGGCCGGGCTGTTCTTCCACTTCTTTGTGTGTAACTTGATGTGATGATGTTTATTCAGGTGGTGGACATCATGAGAGTCAACGTGGACAAGGTGCTGGAAAGAGATCAGAAGCTTTCTGAGTTAGATGACCGTGCAGACGCACTGCAGGCAGGAGCTTCCCAATTTGAAACAAGTGCTGCCAAGTTGAAGAGAAAATATTGGTGGAAGAACTGCAAGGTAATTCTCTTCAATTCGTCTTTACATTAAGTCTGCCTCTGCATTCTCTGGGGATTGACTAAGCCCACAGATACTGCACTTGCATAAATCTTGGAGGTGAGTTTGACTCCCCATACATGGAATTTGGATTGACTCTGAATATAAAACACTGACTGCATACCCCTTCCTATCCCCACTACTAGGAAATCTCTGCACTCTGTAGCTGACCTTAAAAAGGCATGTAGGCAATAAAGTTAAAAAAAAAACATGTAGTAGTGTCCAAAATCAATCACAGACATAAGCCCCTTCCATCCTGCTCCCCAGCGGAGCCCTGAACACAGACTGGCAGCAGAGGGCTGGCGTTGGTGGTCAGTTTGCATATGGTTCTAATGGCTCCAGTGCCAAAGGAAAGAGCTGCTCAAAAGCCACAATGTGCTCTACAGAAGAGCAGGAAGTGCCACACAAGAGCAGGGACCAAAGCAGATTTTATACACCTCCCAAAGAAATGTCTTGCCCCTTCCTGGTTTAGAAGTGACACTTTCCAGTACACTGTGTGTTCAGTAGCCCCTCCTGATGTGGAGAACACGTGTACACAAGTGCCTACTTAGGTACCACAGAACATTTGAAGAGCTTATGAAAAGCAGATAAAGTAGCCTTCAGGTCCTGTTTGAGAGCATTACATTTAGGCTTTAAAAACTGGATTATTTCAGATTGTAGTGCACCAGAATTTCCCTTTCAGTGACTAGAGTAGTATTATATGATACCCTTTAGTCAGCACCTTGGTCTCTTTAAAATGTGACTTGGACATGTTCCGTTTCAGATGTGGGCCATAGGGATTAGCGTTGTCGTCATCATCATCGTCATCATCGTCGGTGAGTTCTGTTCTAAACTCATTGAAACATGTGTGTTCACAGGTGATTTCATGTACAAGAACTCAAAATATCCTCAGAAATGTTAGTTTATTCCAAAGATTTGTTTTCTTTAGTAAATGTTTTAAATATTGAGTGTTGTATGATTAAAGTCTGAGAGTTTTTATGTAAACATTAGTGCTTTGAAACTAGAGAAAACGTATTCATTTCCACTGACGTGTCAAGTTTCTCTCTGAATGTATTTCCATCAGATGTTCCTTTTGTGAGAAACAGCGTAGTCTAGTGATTGGAAGCACAGACTACCTGTGATCCACCCTAGCCCCACCACCACCCAACTGCGGGGCTCTTGCAAGTATTTTAATATCTCCGAACTTGAGTTTCCTCATTTGTAAAGGGGGTAATAAGAGTCCCTAGCTCTGTGTTTGTTATGAGGACAAAACTGGTTGACATATAAAAAGTGCTTAGGGTGTTGCCTGGCATGTGACGATAATAGTTATATAAGTAAATAAATACACGCATTATTACTGCTACCACTAGTGAGACTGTACACACCACTGCAACTGCCCGCTGCCACTGTGGCCAGGGCCAGCATGTCTCCGATCCTGATCTCTTCGTTCGTCCTCTTGCTCTCAAAATGTGGATAAGCCACGAGGAGCAAATAGGCCAGGCTGCGTGTCTGCTCCCATTTAGACTAGCATTTGATGTTCATTATGGATTTGCACTGAAAGACTAAACTGCTGTTTCCCTTGCTTTTTCTGCATCTTCCTGCTTATTAGTGTGGAGTCTGTCTTCATGAAGAACCAGCAAGACAACGGCCTGCTGTTCCAGAAACCTGTTCAAGGCTTTGACCTAGAACCTGCTATATATATCATCAAGCTTACATACTATAATATCTAAAATGATTATTTTCTGCTAGTTAGTGTAAAGTTTGAGTTTTAGGAAATGTGCCTTTTTTTAACATGCACTCCAAACTAGAAGTGTCGTCAGCCCAGCCCAGTTTTGCACAGTGCCTTTACAAATTTACATATGGGCTGATGGAAGGACTTCCTGAGTTCCAGAGTGCTATCACCTAGAAGTAGCATTGTCTGAGTCACCGCCATGAATTCCCAATTAAGGGAATTTTTTTCCAGGTTCGCTATCCTCATCACATGACCTTAACTTCAGAGCCACACTTTAAACCTTTGGGTAATCAGATTTCCAGTTTGTGCCTTACAGAGAGAACACTAGTCTGTCTCAAATCTGTGACAATGCCAGTCTGTGCCTTACTTTGCTCCCTTTCTGATTCCCTATAGAGAACCCTCTACTTTTATAAGCACTACTGACTCTCTGTATTTAAAACAAGATGCTGGTAATGTTCTTACATTAGATACAAAGATGTTTACTTGTTATTGTTTTGTATCATTTGCTAAAAATATTTTAATCGGAAATAACCTCTTTAAAACATTTTTATAGAACTATGGCTGTGACCAAAGTTTCTATTTTTGCCAAAAAAGTTAAATCCCAATAAAATGCCCTTGAGTCTGTTCCTGACAGGTAAATTCCAAAAAGTGACCAGTGGAACTCAAGGTACCCTTCAGAATTAAAGTTGTAATGTTATTTGTGAAGCTTCTGCATCCTGACAGGCTTTTCTTACCTTAAAATACTGTAGGTGGTACAGCTCCCCTTCCTATTCAGCATTTGTCCTGGGGTTAAGAGAAGGTGCGAGCTAGAGCCTAACCACCTCATACCTGGAGACAGATTGCAGAACACCAGCTGTGGACTCCAGTATGTTTCTGAGACTTACGTGAGCAACAATTTTGTAGCCTTCAAGCAAGACCATCTGAACTGGTCATTATTTGGCCCAGTCCTCATAGACTGAAGCTTTTTGGAGCTTGTTTCTGTTTTTAATCATATTCCACTTCCTAAGTCTGTCTTCTAAATTATATTTTCAGTTAGCATTGGTCAGGGGTGGCTGACTTTTCAGAGGATAGCTAACCAGAGACACTTCCTTTCTTCCATGTCATAGACTGCACAAGGTGATGCTTTGTAAATAGCTGTTGTCATCTGAGAGACTTTTGTTGAGACTTTCCACATGAGGCTATGTGGCTCAGGGTGGGGATTCAGGTATGAATGAAGACGGGCAAGGAGGCACTGGGGGAAGCGCAGAGCTTTACCGCTCTGGCCCACGGGACCGGGTATTCTAAGGCTCGTTTTCATGAGCTAGGATGTGACTGACAAAGCAACAGCAGTTGACAGGGTTCCGTTTCTTTGGTATCCCCTGACAGCACTGAATTGATACAAAGTTGAAAACATGCCCAGCTGTGAGAAAAAAGCAGCTGCCAGTGTCAGGACATTAGGCCCCTCAGCTCAGGGTCTCTGGCCAAGTCTGACGTTAAAACTTTGGTGCTCTCTCCTTGGCCTTATGCTCAGTCCCATGTAACCCACCAGCGCCTGCATTAACCCACCAATACCTCGCTCGCATCTGTGCACTTAGCTGGGAACTTGCCCACTGTAATGACATGAATAAAGTGTTTATAAACATAATTCTGGTACCTGTATTGCTTATAGAGGAGTAGCTGCGCCTGGTCCAAGTCCTAAAAATGGCATTCCTTGCTGCCCCGCCCCCAAGCCTCTAAACTCCACTCTCATCCTTTCTCACCAGTCCCCTCCCCGAGCACTCTAATTTCATGTTACCTAGCATATCCCTATTTGCTAGTCAACAGAAGCAAACTACCCCCTTATGAAAAGTGCTTTTCAGTTTAGATGAGTGGGGAACTGGCTTTCTCATGAATATAGGATTCTTCAGCCCATTTGGCTTTTGAATTTCCTAAATATGTGGTCTTTCAAAAGTGATGTGCAGAGCTGGCCTTGCATATGGTATGATAGCTGCCTACATGGGATGTGGGGAATATAATTGGGTGGGTGAGGGCCATCTCCAAACATGTCTCATTTTGATTCTGTTAATCTTTCCCCTTGAATATACTTCTACTCTTACTCTGTGTCACCTAGGATACTATATAACGGGTGGAAGTAGACTTATGCTTATGTTTACAATATGTCAGTTTCCTATGAAACCCTATTGGGAGAGAAGAGGTTGACGTTTTTCCATTGCCTCGGACAGATGGTCACTACTTTCCTTGTCTGATACACTATACTGGAAGAGAACAGAATTGTGCCTTCAGGTCCTTTCATAATGAAATCTGTATGAACTTTCAGTGCCATTTTCAAGATTTTGAAGGAATACCTACCATGTATGGGCTCCTTTCTCTACCCCTCCCTTAAATGGCAAGGTTCCTCCGGGCTGGGTCTTCTGCCAACTTGTCTTTCCGTTCTACTTACCCTCCAGTCTCATCTATCCCCATATTTCATTAATCTGCTGATTCCTAGCCTGTTAGACACAGGCCTCTCAAACTCAATGTGAGCCAAACAGAATTAAACATTCCCCTGCCTCTCGCTCTCTTCCTCTCATCAATAATGTCTATCGCGGAGAGAATGGCTGGGAAGTCCAGTGACCTACCTGGCAACTCCACTTGGAGTGTGATGCACATCTCAAACATACCGTGAAAACCTAACTCTCCATTCTCCCTGCATCAAAACATACCATCTCCAGACTCGCCCGTCTAAGTTTACGTCCCATCGTATGCAGCTCTGCTTAAACCAGGCCCAGGAGTCACCTGTGATTGCTCTCTTCTCACAACTACTCCATTCCACTGGCAAGGCTGTGTCCCCAATGTATCGTACTAAACAGCCTCCTGACTTTCAGCTGTTTCCTGGGGCAGCCGTCTGACTGATACAAATCACTGCCTTGCTTAAAATCCTCCCCTTTCCGCTACCATTAGGAAAAACTCCAAGTTTCCCTAGTTATAAGGCCCCTGTGATCTGGCCCTTCCTAACTTCCTCCCCCTCTGTTCTCTGCTTCCCCACTGCAAACCTGCTGGGCTTCAGGGCCTATCCCCACCCCCTTCCCACATTCAGGTTTCAATTTCACCTTCTCAGAGAGGCCTGGCCTGCTAGCCGAGCTACGGTGCCTCTTGCCTCCCTCGCCCTCCATCCTGCCCTTAGTCGCACCTTTCCCCATTAGACTGTTTCATGTTCCACATGGCACCTGCCACCCTCTGAACTTACTCTATGGAGTTGTTCATGTTTTAGGTCAATAAAACGTAGACTCCCTGCGGGGCAGGAACTGCCACCACTCTCTCCCCAGAGCTCACAAGCATCCCTGCCCAGATATACGAATGTAGTTTGGCAAAAGAGCTTCAGAGGAGAGTGAGACCTGCCATCACCTGGAAAAATAAGGTGATTTATCCAGTGCATGACATGAAGAATCGGCACGCTTGACTTCCTATGCAAATCCTTTCGTTGGCCCAACAAGCGCTGAAGCTTCTCCGTGCACAGGCCCCGGAGGGGGCGGCGCCCTGCACCGCGCCTTCCGGCCGGAGGAGTCGGTACCGGGATCTGGAACCGGGCCGCCGGCCTGGAATTCCCAACGGGCTTCTCCACAGCAGTCCTTTTACATACACCGGTCTTCCTCCAGCTGCAAGTGGGTCTGTAACTTCAGGAAGAGCAGGGAAAAGTTTACGCTCCGCCGTCAAAACTCCCGTTTCTAAAGCTAGCGTTGGATTCTTCCCGGGCTGCTCGGCCGCCGGGGCTTCCAAGGCCCTCGCCCGAAGAGCTGGCGGGACGGAGAACGAGGTTAGGAACGATGGACACTACGGGAACCCGAGAAAACGCAGAGAACGCGCTCGGCGGCCCAGCACCTCCCTCCGGCTGCCCCAGGGGGGTCCCGACCACCAGCCCAGGTGCCACCCG